TGCCGCATGGTGGTGGTGGGGTGTCTGCTCCTGCAGCTGGGAACAGGACATGCTGTATGGAGGGGGACGAAAGAGGTTTCTGCTCTGTCATCTGGGAATGCGTGTGTGTTAGTAAATTGGGTGCCATTCAAACCAGTGCACATGACCTTAATATTGGTGCACAAGCCAAAAATCACTCCACTTATAGTTGGAAAATCTTATGCCGCATGGTGGTGGTGGGGTGTCTGCTCCTGCAGCTGGGAACAGGACATGCTGTATGGAGGGGGACGAAAGAGGTTTCTGCTCTGTCATCTGGGAATGCGTGTGTGTTAGTAAATTGGGTGCCATTCAAACCAGTGCACATGACCTTAATATTGGTGCACAAGCCAAAAATCACTCCACTTATAGTTGGAAAATCTTAGAGGGAACACTGGAGGCAAGCCACACTGTCCAAGTCAGAAGAAGCAGAAAAAGTCGCTCGTTTATCAATAGTTTATGCATGATTTATTTACACTAATTTTACTATTAGGAAAATATGATTAGCAAGACTTTCACTCTAAAAACAACATCCTGAAAAGTACTGCCGAACAGACTGATGCTGTTGATGTGCAAACACCAAGTTTAAATGGGTAATTGATATCACATGGCTGGCTTAATGGATACCAAGCGAGGACCCCAAAACAGCTCCCGTGGGGTCCTCCCACTGACATCAGCGGAAGCAGTATGAGGCCCTTTGATAGAAAGAAGGTCACCTCAAGAACAAAGACTGAATCCTTCTACAAATCAATATCCGAGGTCACTGAAACCTTAAGACTTAATTTATCCGGCATAAAACACATGATTTTCTGATTAAATGGTAAGCCCATTGTGCACATGACTGAGAAGCTAACAAATGAGTACAGTTTACTGTGGGATTTCTAGAATTTGAAATTTCTATCCTGCAAGACATCATTTTAAGGATTAAGTGAACATTATATAGGCTAATAGAAATCATTTTGCTCTAGGCCACTTTGACACTTATATTAATCTTGATTCATTAAGGCCTACACAAGTTCACTGTAAACATTAAGGCCCTGGAAAAGAAAGCATCCTTTAAGAGACTGCTAATCTCTTTTCAAAATTATTTTTCAGCTATTTACTCCTCAGATGTTTATACCAAATATCTAGCATATAAATCAACTAACTAACTATGAATTAAGCAGCCTCTCCCCACATTACTGCCCTTGATTGGCTTAGGACTTCAAGATACAAGGATCAATACATGGTACATTCCAGCCACAGAATATTAATTACTACATCTGACACACATAGGAACACAAGCAGAGGTTTGATCAAACACATTCTTATGTTTGTCAACATCAGCCCCAAGTAGATATGGGTGATGCACATCAAAGGCTTTGGGTTGTTTTTGGTACTTGTGTATTTCCAGAAAATGCTGCATTTGCCTTACAACAGGAAAAAAATGTTAAAGCTCTTCACAATGTAACACATTAGTTCTCCGAGGCACCTGTAAAATGGCAAACATCTATCTAAGTTAGTCTGTAAACATGCCCATTACAATTTACAATTAAAATGTTAAAACACAGATCCACACATTCATCTGGAATTATAACATTGGATTGGGTCATCCTGTGCTAGAACATGAAAGAAAATGCAGGTATTTCCAGTTTTACCCCGTGTACTCTGGTTGGCTAAGTAAAATTAAAGCAAGTAACTTAGCTTACCCTAATTGTACAAAAAGAACATTAGAGGTAAATCCTGGCTCCATGCAATTGAAAACCTCCACTGACTTCAACTGGGCCAGGATTTCAATCTAAAACTTGAAACATGCTAATCTACATCATCGGAAGAATGCTGTAGGTTTTCAGAATTGGTTATACACTCTATCACACTATCAGTATGTAATATATCTCAAATGTTCAGTTTCCCAATTACCACTCCATAATGACTTGTGTTGATATAAATGTGTATTTGTTTATTGTATTATGTACAAATTGGCTATGGCTAAAATGCTATATGCACAGGCTCTTTCCGAGTTACTCTTTGCGACCAGTCTGCAGAAAAAGTGCTATTAGTAAAAACCAAAGGTGAAAATGATAAATTATTCACTTGGTCCTCACCTAATACTTGATATTCCTCAACTCCAATATTTGGTCCACTCACTTAAAAACATTTTATTCATAGGTCCAGCAACCGAAATTAAACCCCTAATATATTTCACACTGTCAGCTGGAACATCAAAACCAACAGTGGGGGCACCATTTATCTGGTCCAGTGCCAATTTGATATGAAAATTAAAAAATCCCTTTCTTTGATAATTAATAAGCTTTCTTTCTATTCCATAACGGAAGTGGTAACAATTTTCCTTTTAAATAATGCCAGTACCTGTAGCATTTGAAATCTGGTACAAGCAGAAAAAACATAGGATGATCACAGAACCCACAGAGCACTAATTTGACTTTCTATTGCTTACAATGTGCAACATTTGTTTACAGTCCTACTTAGAAAGTTTTGAAAGTAACAGATAATTTCACAGGAATGACAACCTCCGTGTTTCAAACCTTGAACTTGGAAGAATGTGGGATGAGTTTCAGCTATTTTCTCAGCAAGCTGACAAAGACTAATACAGATATTTTGCGGGTTTTTCTAGAACAGGACCAAGAGATGGCAGTGTTTCATTGCTATATGCACATTAACTTCCAAACTGTTTATTCCATTTACATTAAGTACACACCCCAAATCCCGAGTATTTCTGAATGAGTTACTTTGCATGTGTAGGCCCCCAGTTTCAATAGCACAAATATAGAGATGTATCTACTTTAGTATCCATTTTTTTGTCAGTGTTCACACCAGCCAACCAGAGTACTCCCAGTACAAATAAAAGAAAACTCCTCCATAAACTCCAAATAAATAAATTACTTTTTCAGATACTGTAGCAGTGTCCTCAATTTTGTTTAAGTATGTAAAATAACAATCTTAATGTTAGAATTATAATGGTCATATGGAAAATATTTATTACAGAAATCTACCAAAGGATTATAAGGTATTATACAGAAGAATGCTTCCAAGTTTCAAGTAGTTCTTGAGAACTGGTGGTCCCAATGTACTAAGCTTGGTCTTTTTCATCATACTGATTCCAGTATTCAGGTAATCTGTACTCCTTGGAAACTGGTATTTATATCACAGGCATAAATAGTTTTCTTAGGCTGTGGTAGCTGACTGTGATAGAAGTAAGTCAGAGAGATTTATGATCCAGCCAGGTTCATCTTGTCCATGACTGAGGCAAATACGTTTGAGGTTAGTAGCAGCAAATTGTCAGCATTAGCTAACATGTTCATATTCCCAAGTCCCCTGTGTTTTGAAGTGGTTTTCATAGATGACCCAATGGTCAGACTGCTGATACTTGTTCATCTTCTGTAAAACAAGAAAAATATTGTAAATTGTTACAGCAGACATCTGCCATGATCATATAGTACATTATTCAATATGTTGTATAAGCCCCACCATTTACTTCTAGTGATTCTGTGGAGACTGTAATGGCACATAATACTTTCAGAACCTAACCAAATGACAAGAATGAAATATCCTTATTCAAAAAGTTCTTCTACCATTCTACACATTTCTTAGCCATTTGATGAAGATACTTGATTTAAGAAACCAGATGAAATTGCATATTCCCAAAATATTACTTTGAATGCACTGGAAAATATCCCACACTTCCAGTGACTTCAAAATATAGGGTTGTAGAGGGTTATTAGCAAGTTTCCAAAACGATAAATGTATCAGAGTATTTTAAAACTAAAAAGGAAATATAGCTAAAACTGCGCAACAAGTTTCATAGCAAAATAATTTTTTGAAATAAAATGGGTATCATTCTATTTTAATCTCAGAGCTATGAGTTGGAATCATGATATACAAGAGTAATATAGTCAACAGAATGATCTAATATTATGCAATGTATACATAGAATTGCCTTATCACAAAGGCTTTGATTCTCAATGCATGTTATTTTTCATGCATACCATACTAAATTCTAATTCAAAAGCTTCAGTTCATTACAGGTGGGGTGAGCAGTATTAACACTAATGCATAACACAATAGGAGACTGAAAGAATAACACCAGGTAAGATACATTAATTTGGAGTTACCTTTTACAAATACAAGAGCAGCTTTCTCAAACATACTTTACATATATATTGTTGAAAGCATCACAAACTGTTTATGGCAGTACTGGCATTCGCTTCAAACAAGGGTCAGAAGAATTTAGTTTAAAAAGACACTGTCAGCTCATTTGGTGCAAATTTCAGACTTTGGAAAAACAAACTTTTACAAAACCAAAGAGCAATAGAAAAGTTTCCATTATTTATTTTTGTTCTAAAAATGCTTTTTAGCATTCTCTTGCAATGTTTCACATTATAAATGGAATGTAAAACATCCAGAAATTGATAGGGATGTAAGCAACTAGTTGAGTAGTTGACTACATGATAAACCTAGGCTTATCAGACAGTCAAGACACTACTCAACTACTTGCTTCTCCCCTCCCCTCCCCCGCTAACTCCGTATCAGAGGCAGCGGGGGTGGGGGGGAGAGGGACCAGGAGCTGGTGCAGGGGGGAGCCGTCTTATAAGCAGGTCCCCATAGCACAGTTTCTGCGGGGGGTAGGGAGAAAGGGGAGGAGAGGCATAGGTGTAGCCAGGGGTAGGTCCAGGACCTATCGCAAGCTGGGACTGCTCTGTCCTGGCTCATGCCAAGTCCCGGACCGCTGCACCTTTGCCTTTTAAATGTAGCAAGAGCTTCCTGGCTCTTACTACATTTAAAAGGCAGAGGCACAGAAGTTCTGGACTCAATGCCAGCTGAGAATACTCAGTCCTGGCTCACACTGGGTCTGGGACCAATCCCCACTGTGGCTCTGCAGTTTAAATGCAGTAGGAATTGGACTGCTAGCATAACTAGTCCTTACTACATTTAAACTGCAGAGTGGCAGTGGGGTAGCTCCTGGACCCCGCCTTGCCTCCCCTTATCGACTAATCATGCAGTTGATACAAATTACCCACTTAATATCCTTAAAAATTGAAAAAAAAAAACCCACAAAAGTGGAGGAACCTTATTTGCTTCTATTGTCCAGATTGAGAGAAATGCAAAGATGTGAATCAGAATTAGGATTTAAACATTCTTCAAGAATAAAAAACCCAGAATGGTATTTTTTTAATAAAATTTTTAACCTGACAGTATCTTTTTAAGGCATCAGAACTGCCCAAAGGGTATAGAATTGAAAGGGAATTTTATGGCATCTTAATGACACTTTTGTAGCTCTCATACATTTTGATAAAGAATCCATTTGGTAACATGATTGCCCAGTGTGCTTTTTAGAATAAGAAAGCACACTTAATTTTAACAAATACATATTCTTTAATCTCAAAGAATTACAAAGAACAACTCACAGTACTGAGATGTGATTTACACAGCAGTTCATTTAACATCTATCAAGTTAGTTAACATACCATCCTCTTCACTATCTGCGTCAGTCATATCTGCTAGTTTAGGATGGGACGGCTGTCGTTTATGCCACTGAGGCATCTTCGATGACATACAGGCCACTGGTTCACTACTGAGAGAAGCTGATGAAAGTCTAGAGAGGTCACTAGGTAGCATCTTTGACCTCTGCACTGCCACACTATAGTCTGGAGGCTTTAAGTGTGGGTGATGGGGTGATCCTTCCTTTATGTCCGCTAAAGAAATCCCCATATATCCTGGAGGGGTGGGCGGAGGCTCCCTATACCTATCGTCCTTCTTAGGTGAGGTGACACAGTATACTGGTACAAGAAATAAGCAATGGAAATGTTAATGAAGATAACAAAGGAAACAAAATATTAAAAAAAACTGTGAAGTGTTACAATGACAAAACAGAAACTGATAATAAAAGGCAAATGCAGAAACACTGGTTATAACGACAGCAGCAGATTTTTATGCTTTTAATTTACATTTTATACTTATTTTGAAAAGTCAGTGTACTGTAATTGCAAAACTATTGTGAAACGCCAATTAAAGTTAAATAGAACTATGGTCTCATGTTCTTTAAATGCATTGAAATACGCAGATGAAATTATAGTAGTTATAATACTTTGTACTTCTATAGCAACTTCCACCACAGGATTTCACAGCGCTCTACAAATATTAATGGAATTATCTTTGCAGTAATCCTGGGAGGTAACTATTCTTCATGCTGGGAAAATGAAATACAAGAGAGGTTATCTGACTTGTCCAGGGCCACAATTAGTTTGTGGTGGAATCAGGCATGGAAAATAGACCTCCTGACACCCAACCCTCGTCAAGAACCGAAGAGTTCTTTAAACAACTGACTGCACTAGAACAAAGCTCTAGTTCACTAGCTATGTCGTATGACACTAGTATGTACTCTACACTCAGCTATGCTGTGGGAAGAAATCAAAAACTCTGTATGAAGTTCTCACTAAGCAACGAATTGCATATACTACTTGTGGCCTTCACAAACATCCCATGGAGACGAGTTCCACAGGCTGACTGTGCATTGTGTGAAGTAGTACTTCCTTTTGTTTGTTTTAAACCTGCTGCCTATTCATTTCATTGGGTCACCCTTAGTTTTTGTGAAGTATGTCTACTCACTCATAAGATAGATAGCTCCTCACAAAATCAGCATCAAACATGCTTTAAAACTTGACTTGAAAAAGATCAGTGATCGTGCTATTCACAGCCAAGTGTGGAAATGAGGGATCAAGTCATGAATCCCAAGGGGAAAAGAGGTTGTTTCAGATGCAGCAAACAATTCCTGCAGCAAATTATCTTCAAGAACTGCAAGAAAAATGCCACCAACCAATTAATGAGTTGGGCTCTCTGGCTTCAAACGAACACTCTCACTCATGTAAATGATGACTATTAAACAAGTGAAAAGGAAAGTGAATATCCCTACAGCAAGGTGTGAACATCCCCCTCATTTAAGGGGAAACAGTGCAAACTATCAGATAATCTGGCATGTTTTACTCAGATATTTGTAAAGCGCTCTGAATAAGACACATTTCAAGGCGATATTTTATTGTTACTTTACTTATTTATTATAAATAAATAAATAAATAAATAAATAAATAAAGTAATGGTGCTTGTATCTAATAATTTTGACTGTCAGAGCATCAAGTTCCACCACTATTGGCATTCACACCATTACATCTCCATAATTCTTGTAACTTCTTGCAATATAAATCACTTGGAAACCCAAGGCACTAAGAAATTACATAAGAAAAACTTCAATACCCCTATTCCTATTCTGCATAAAAAACAATGCTACTACTGAACATTTTAAAAGTGCTTGAGTTCTTTGTATAAAAGGAAGTGTTTACACTGCTGGTTTAAAAGCTGTTTCATGAGAAATCGTGAGTTCTACTAAATCGATCCTTTGCCTTAAGAGACTCCCTTATTCTCTTCTGTTTTCACCAAGATCTTCTCTTCTTTCTAAGATCTCATGTCTGAAACCATCTTCTCACCCCGGGACAGAGTAAACCAATGGTGAACTAAAGCTACAATGTCTTTTGGTGTGATGAATGATATAGGTGCTGTATCTCTGGGTGCTGCTGCACCCCTTGACTTGAAGTGGATTGCATTATATACAAAGCTTTAGTTTGGTTCGATGGCTTTCAGCATCCCCCGCTATAAAAATTGTTCCTGCCCCCCGATGTAAGATGAAGTGTGGATGATGAAGGATTTGCAAAATTAAACATCTATTTGTGATCCAAGATCAAAGTTCCACTGATTGTTCCTTTTCCTTGAATGGCATGCAATTGGAATGCAAACGGGTAACCAGTTACCCGAAAAGCATCACTCTTATTGGGTGATGCTTACCAGTGACTGGTTAACTGGCACCTGGTGAGTGTGAAGCAGCCCCCCACTTGCAGCACACTAGTTAACTGGTTAAACATACAGTTTAACGGGTTAACATTTTAAATGGGATTTTACATCCCTACCATGCAATGATCATTTTATTGAACTATGTAGCTGAATGCTTACTGCCAATGAATATATATTGTTCAGCAACATGACTGCATGCAGAGAAAAAAATGTGTGATGTGGTACATAAACAGAATTTGAAGCAAGAGAGAAAGGAGTAAGAGATAGGCAAGAATGCAGTGAGTGGCTCGTGTGCCAGAATGTCAGAGCTGACGATGAGTGCACTACTGGATAGGATGTATTACGAGGCTGGAGTAGATGCATGTGCATGTGCTGGCAGGAAATGCATAAAAAGTAGATTGGAAAGGGTTTTCGAAAACTTTCTTACACATGCTCACTTTTTCCATAGAGCCAGAGAGAAAGACGGTCTCCATTCTCTATATGACACGACCCTACCCACTAACAACATGGAAGAGCATGTGCACATTAATAAAATATGTCTTTGGAAGTCATATTTTATGTGAGGAGAAAATGTGCTTTTCTCCTGTCGTATGAAAACAGCAGCTGGCTAAGCAATCTAACAGCAGGCAGTGCAACGTGATGCTATGCAGGGAATCTGCATAGCTTCTGGGCTCCCTGGGACAGGAAGCGTTATGGACACAGTGTGCTCAGTCTCTTCGCCTCACTTGTCAATCTCCTCCCTTACTGGTTGCTAGAAGGAACAGTGTTGGTCCATGGAAAGCATGTCCAAACCTCCTTGCCAGAAGAAAATCTTCAGCCATAAGGGGTGTGTGGGACAGAAGCATAAGGGGAGGTGGGGGGAGGGGAGAATTAAAAAAGGTGACCATATAGGAGTCTCAAAAAATAAAGGAACTCTGAGACCATATGCAGAAACTGCCTGACCCTTCCCAGAACATGGGCCTCCTGCATTTCCATAAGATTATAAGGAATTTATTCTTTATTCTTGTAATTTTCCTAGTTTTTTAAAATATGTTGGTTTGAAAACACATTGTCTGGGTACTACTCTGATTAAAACCACATGTAAAACTGGATTTAACATGCAACCCGGCTCCTGCCCCACATCTGCTGATGTAATTTCTTAACAACATACTAAAAGGCAAAACAGATGTAGAAGCTTCCATAGGCTTGGCTTACCTATCAGGCCTTTTTCTGTACTTGAAGTAACAGTTTTATAATTTGCATCAGTGGCTGGCTTAGAGTCCAAAACTTCAGTCTGCTCTGCTGCAGAGCGCTCCAGCTCTCTCCGTTTAATTGTCCCATAGTTTGTTTCATATGTGTCTGACAGGGAACTTGAGGAAGCCCAGCTTTGCCGAGACTGATCGTGTTCTGTGCTGGCTTTTGACTGCCTGTTATTTTTGGAAAAGGCTTCAGAATACAAATAAGACTCTTCAGGGTGACAGTGTGTGGGTTCCACTTCAGCAATGGGTCCATCTAGATGAGTGTGACGGTAAGAATTCAAGAGATCCCAACTTTTCTGGTTTTGGATATTCTGGAAGTTATCATGAGAACTACTCGAGCATGAAGTCCAGCTTCCCCGGCCACTGTCTGCAGCTTCTATTGTGATGTGCTCATGAGAGATCTCCTCACTGCTCATGGAAGATGTGACAGCCATCCCTCTGACTATCGCAGGTCTAGTGAGTGACCAACTAAATAGGAGGACAAAATAAATTAGAAAGAAAACCCCCACAGGTTGGTAGAAAAATAACATTTGCCCCCAAATGCTCAGAAACACCATTATCCAGCTTTAAAATAGTTTGGAATGTAGTAGGATCAAAAATGTATCATAACATAACCCAATAACATGGCTATTCAAAGACAGCCATAGCTCTAACCATAAACTTTTGAGATTACATTTCAGTCATGTATAATATAATACTAAATGGAATATAAAATACAATAAAAATTCATGAAAATAAAATAAAAATATATCTTCCATAAACAAAACCAGATTTTTTAAGTCACATAACTGCAGAAAAAAATCCATACATAGAAACTGAATTTAGTTACAAACATTAGTTTGTACTCAATGACTACAACATAAGTTATTTAAAATAACAAATACTGCAAGGTTGTAGATCCCTTATGAGTGTGCTAAAGTTGGAAAATGGCTACATAGTTTCTCATGAATATTATGTGCAACTTGGTTTCCTTGCTCAGTTTTGTATTGCCATCTTCTCAAACTCAACCCAGACTTCAGCTAGGAGTTGACCGAGACAAGAAACAAAACAATAATTTAACTGATGTCTACATGCACAATGTTGCAGCAGCACAGCTGTACTGTTGTAGCATGCGTGGTGAAGATGCTGTATGCTGACAGGAGAGAGCGCTCTCCTATGGGCATAACAGAGCAACCTCTGTGAGAGGCAGAAGCGATGTCAGCGGGAGAAGCTTTCCTGCCGAGCGCCATGCACACAAATGCTTATGTCCTTCAGGGGTGTGGAATATTCAGATCCCTGAGCAACATACATTTTGCTGAGATAACCTGTAATGTAGAAATAAAAGACAGGACAGACCCACTTCCTCAGATCAAATTGTGGAAGAAAATTGGCATGACCATATATGATCTGAGGAAGTGAGTCTGGCCCACGAATAAACCATCTTGTTAGTCTTTCAAGTGCTGCATAGTCCTGTCTTTTGTTTCAGCTAGACCAGACTAACACGGCTACATCTCTACTACTGTAATGCTGAGATAGCCTAAGCCAGTTTCAGGGCACACCTTCCAATCAGCTAAGTAATCAACGAGACCATTACTGGGAGATGCTCCTTCCAGGCACTAGCGAAGAAAGGATGTAGAAAGGATTTAAAGTAGCAGAAATACTAAGATTCAAAGGAAGCTACTTAAATGAAAAACTGTGTTAAAGCTGTTAATGCATGATTAAGCTTGGCTTTATACGGATATAGAAAGGATGATTGCCAATCACCATTCTAAACTTCTCTGAGGAGCTGTGGACAGTGCAATAAAAGAATATCGAGGATAATCAGGTTGAACCTCTTTAGTCTGGCACTCCCTAATTTTAGTTAGCCAGATGTCCACTTATCATAGGCATGGCCACGTTTCCCATGGTTCCATAAAGTTTGTTTGCAGCCACCAGTCCTAGCTCTCAGCGTTCTGTGCTGTTATTTAACTCTAATTTACCCCTAAATGACTTCTAAAAGCCCAGTAAGCAGTGTAAGTGCTGGTAATGTTGCTACACAGTAGAGACCTTCTGAGGTTTGGCAAATTCTCTGGTTTGGCACTAGTCAGGTCCTGAGGGTACCACACTAGAGAAGTTCAACCTGTAGATAAAATCATCAACATGTACAGTATTTTGACACATTATGGAATCTAGGAATACTTGTCAGAATCATGTTAAAAACTTTTTTTATTTCCTTGTCTTTTTATCTTTTAAACTTTTTCATATAAAAAAATTTATTTCACAAAAAAATTATAGAAACTAAAACACAGCAATAATATAGAGTTGGAGGAATCTAATTTTAAAATATAAACACAAGAAAATGCCAACTTCAGGTTGCAATACAGTTCTTAACATAACAGAATGTGTTCCGAAAAACTTTGATTTTATACACAGTATTGTATTGTGCTTCAATATCCTGGCACATTGGGGTATTTAATTAACCATTTCATGTCTGCTATGACTAAAATATCAGTGTTTTTGATTAAATTGGAAAGTCCTGTGCTTTTCAGAAATGATAATTATTTTAGTTTACAAAGTACACCTTTAAATAGTTCTACTACTCCCAATTTTATCATACTGGAATAACTGGGATTGATAAATATTCAGAAGTTATATTATCTTAGCAATGCACGCTCTCTAACAGTCTGATTTATAAGGAGAAAACACTACAGAATACTGATTATTCATTCTTAAGTTATTGTTGGGTTTCACAGATACACAAATTGCCAGAGTTCTTCATAGTAGTAAACAATGATGTTTTATTTTTTCATGAAAAAGTTCATTAACTTTTCTCCATGGGCAGATCTTTGTCAGTGTTGCATATGAAGCATTAATATTACTCCTTAAGGACGGACCACTAGCTCAAACACAGGCATTTGATATTGTCTTTATCTTTGAAATCTCTCTCCCTTAATAAAATGCACTGTGGTTGAAAAGACAGCAATTGATCCCAAGAGATACTGAGCCCCTTGATTTCCATGGAAATTGGCAAGGCCCAGCACATCACAGGATCATACTCAAAATTTAGAGATATATGTGACATCTTTGAATGAGTTACTGATGGCAGCCATCTTACTAATAAGGCAACAAAATGCCTGGTATGGGTACCTTAGGAGGCCAAAAATGGGAAACCAATAATCAGCCGCTACAATCATAAAAACTTACAAAATGTTTGGGTTACATATTAAACATTAAAGTATTGGAGTGACTGGTATTGATTGCCAGCAATAACTGCTAGTATGCTGTTCTCATTTAGCTGCTTTCCTCAGTACTGTACAGCAGATAATTTGTTAAATATCCTTCAAGCTCTCCATCCATTTGCATTTTCTGGCAAAAGACATCTCTACAAAACCTGCTGATGCAGACAATCTCCTGTCTGTCTAAATTATACTGCAAGCTCCTTGTGCAAAAAAAAAAAAAAAAAAAAGTCTTCCCCTATGTTTCAAAGCAGCTGGCACACTGATTGCTGTCAACAAGTTAATAACAACAATTATTGCAGCATAACCATTAACTATGTCTAAACACTAAAGTGTTTCACTCTTTTTCCTTACGTCAGTCAGCCAAGCACCAAAGCACAAACATTTCTCACCCAGTGGTAGGCTGGCTATACTCAGCGGAC